AATGCAACTGCCACTTCTACTCTAACAGATTCTATGCTTGCAACTTCCCAACAGTGGATCTCCCTTCCACTTAATTGCTTCCCTGATAACTACAATCTTCAAAAGTTTAAAAATGCAACATCAACCACCATCTTACGTTGATTTGAACTCTGTTCAACTTTTATCATTTCTTCAATCCCCCTATTCAGTCTTTTCTCTCACTTTCACTCTGTGCAACCCCCTACATAGTGGTACTCCTGGCTTGCACTGGGGTGAAATGATTAAAGAAAGATAAATAAATAAAAAATATAGTTACTTATCTTTTATTATCATTATTATTTCACTTTCAGGTATAAACATTGTCGTGATTCACGACCTTAAAAGATAAGATATTGAGTGATATATAGGAAGATATTGTTAAAAACTGCAAAAAGTTGAACAGAAATAAAGAAAATATTTGAAACTGATATTGCAAATAAACGATAAACAAAACATTTTCTAAAGACAAAAAAAAGAAAAAGAAAAGAGAACTACCAAATCTGAAGAGCTAAAACTACAAAAAAAGAAAGAAAAAAAAAAGATTTAAATGCAAGTTGGGAGAAGTTAAAACTAATTTCTCAACAGGTTTTTTTTTAGTGATGAATAGAGCTGGGATTGAGGTTGGGACATTCATAAAAAAATAAAAGTAAAAATAAAACAACACACACGCACAATTTAGAAGACAGATGAAAGTGAAATAAATTTTGGGTGTTAGGTCCCTTCAAAAGTGAGGACAATATCAAGATAAAGGCAGAGAATTATTGGAAGTTCTTAGTAGACAAGACATTTTTCAGTGGTTCAGGTCACAGTCAAGAAACGTAAGCTAAAAAAAAAAAAATCGTCATGCAAAAGAAAAATGATGCACCTTCACATTCTGCAAAGCAGACTCTTGTGCACCTTGCTAAAAAGTTTTCAAAGATACCAACCAAATTAAAGCAAAGAAGAAGAAAAAAACTGCTACAAGTTGAAACAGTAGAAAATTAAACTCAAATCAATGAACAAATGACAATGTCCATATGACGTGTAAAATTTAAAAACATTATTCTTGTTTCAAAACGGAATAAATATTTGATTCCCATAAACCATCACATTTGATCCCATCAAACGGTTTATGGGATCAAATATATTTATTGTTGCATGTCTTTATTTATAAATAACAATTTTATGTTTTTGCATAATAAAACTTCACATTTAAAAAGGAAGAATTTACTTATTTGGACGGTTCTTAATAGTAATTTTATCGTGAAAAAAAAAACAAAAAAAAAAACAAACAAACTGTGTAATGAAATCTTACGGTAGAATTATCACCAAATGCTAAGTAAGACAATATGAATATTTTAAAATTTAAGGTGTTTTTTTGGTCGTAGGAAGAAAAAAAAACAAAAAACATTATTATACTGATTTGTGAGTCAAAAAAATTAAAAATCTATAACTTCATTCAATGATTTGTATAATTATTTTGTCCTATTAACAAATAATAAACATAACATTTTTTTTTTGCAAGTACGAAAGAATTATCTTTTTTTTTTTTTTTTTTACTTTGATAAAACTAAATTACACACTTGCTTACAGGAATCTTCTGATCCATAAAACTTGTTGATTTATGATTATTACAACCATTTTCACTCAGTTACATAATTTTCCCCACTGTTACCCAGTTAGTTAAAGCTTGGGTTCATTTTAGAGAAATGTAGTAAAATGAAGTGCCATCATTGCTTTAAGAATCGAATAAGATAACAAAATCCTGGAAGCATTAATTTTTCCACCAAATTCTTTATGTTCATTTTGGTGCAAGGCAAATTCATTTGTGGGGAGAAAAAAATTAATACGAAAAGTTATAATTTCATCATCTGAACACTATGGTTGATGTTCTAAAAACTAAAAATGACAGTTTTTTTTTTTTTTTTTTTGTTTTTTGTTTTGTTACTGATTAGATAACAGGTCAAGTGACAACATGCCATTTATTTGGATGCAGCAGCTGAAAGATTGAAATAATTATTGATAATTCACTCTTTTGGAACGTCAACACGTGGAGAAATTTTGATTGAACAATAATGGTTAGGAAACCGCAAGTTGAGAATTATAGTATTTTGATTTGTAAGAAAGATTGCTTTCATTTCTAAAATGTCATATCATGAAAGTGCAAAAACCTAAGAATAAACAGAAAAGGAATTGGCTTTTTAGCTTTTATGGCAACAGAATCATTAATTCATTAGTTCTTCTTTCAAAGACATTTGCATAAAAAGTACAAAAAATTCTTTTCATTGTGAGTAGTTATTTCATGTGCTCCACAAGGCTATCACAAGACATTGTTAAAATTAAAATCTTATCAATTCTAATTATCCCTTTCATTAATAAGTACTATTAACTATTTGTTTTGACTGGTTTTTTTTTCAAATATATTCTTTTAACGTTAATAGTCAAAGTGAAATTTGCTACCATTACCATTTTTGTGCACTACTGCTTTAAATTCCAATTGTTGTCTAAGCAACATTTGTTTTTTATTCTTCCAAAATTCATAAGGTTGAGATCACAATATCTTCAAACATCGTTAGTTACTAAATTGGAAAAAAGTACGATTTTTTTTAAAAATCTACAATATACACTTAAAACTAAAAGTGACCATAAAAAAAAACTTTCAACACTCACTACAGTATATTCAAAATGCCATGTTTTTTCTTTGACTTTATGACGATAAATTCTTAAGGTGATTGTACATCGTTGTTTTTGTTTTGTTTTAATTAGCGCCAATACTGACTATCGAGGAATCAAGTAATATTGTAAAAAGGTAAGAATTTGATATTCTGAGGTTAAGTAAACATTCTTTCTTCTATCATTAAGTTGTGTAAAAAAAAAAAAAAAAATATGCAACTCAAAATGTCAAGAAACAGTAAAACAAGTTCTATTACCGTTGTTCAATCTACTTTTAAAATATAAAAATAGTGCTGGGCATTCAACTATTCAATCAACCACACACACACAAAAAAATAAACAAATAAATAAAATAAAAATAAATAAATCATTACGGTATATGAAAATAATGATCAAGATTGAAGAGGCATCAAGTAGAATAGAGAGAAATCAAGACAGTTAAAAAAAAAAAAAAAAAAAAAAAAAAAGAAAAGAGAAAACAAAGCCGAAAGTAGCATTTCCTGATTTAAATCTTAAGGTGTGTACAAGACAATGACAGGTTATAAAAAAATAAAAATAAAAATGAGTGGATATTAGTAATCATCTCGAAAACACACAATTCATCAATCAAACTGTCACATATTTTTAAGTTATTTCTCAGGTGAGCAATAAAAAGGGAGCGAGGACTGGAAGCAATTTCCCTTTCTTGAATTCATTACTGACCAGAGAGAGAGAGTAAAAGCAACAACAAAAAAGTTTTAAAGTTTTTTTAATGCAATATTAATTATTAAGTATTGACAAATAAATTTCTAAACGGGCAATGAGAGTCTCTCTCTAAAATTTCTAAATTTTATGATGAAAGGAATGTTTTCTTTGTAATAGCGAATGCGGAATGCTTAAAGCTGTGCGACAGCTTATCAGCAAAGAACGGTTACGTTTGAAAAACAGCAAACAAAAATGTATATAAAAAAAGAAAGAAAAGAAAAACAGAGGTAAGTATTGAAATTTGAAATAATAGGAAAACGAAATGAGGCCATCTACACATCTAACACTTGGACGGTTCTGACAGCAGCAGTTGCGCTACAGGTATACGAGTGGTGACATTGTAGTCTCTTGCCTTTTTTTTTTTTTTTTTTTTACCTGTAGCTTAAAAAGAAAGAGGGAGGAGAGAAGCAGTAGAGTGGGTCAGTCAACATTTGTAGGCTTCTCAGGCACACACTACAGTGAACTGAACACTAAATGCCGACCAATCAAGTAACGAAATACGAACATCACAGTAACCAACGTTAGCCACCTTTTTAAAATTTAAAAAAAAACAAAAAAAAAAACACTTAAATAACCAACGTTTATTTTCTGTCAGACAAGTTTTATGAATTTAAAAACAAACAATTAACTGAAACAAAACGGATATTAAAATATTCCCAGAGTACACCAGGTGTACCAGGGCCAGGTAAAATAATTGAAGACTTTTGTTGAGCTGGATAAACACGCACATTATTTTTTTTTATGATAAAATCTTTCAAATAGCTTTAAAAAAAAACAAAAAAAAAAAAAACTTTAGATTGATACTTTCATTAAAATTTAGAAAGTTTACTAAAAATTTCTTCCTATCTTTTTTTCATTGTATTCTTATTTGCAAATGTTAAAAAATGATTTTCTTTGTCAGGTGTGTCATGGTCGCTAATTACCTGGCCACCAGTCATCAATCGGCCATTGCTGGGCAGGTGTAAGTAAAGTTGTAAAATAAACTTGTTGAAAACGTTTAGGTTAAAACTCAATTTTATGACAATCAGAGTGAACTGGTTACTTTGGTAATTAAAGTACATTTACTTGTTCTTGTAGTTCTGATCAAAACCAAAATTACGAAAAAAAAATTGGAGGTGAATTTGCAGGACGCACAACTTTAGACAATTGACGCAGGTAGCCATCTTGGATACAATTTTATTTTTCTTATAGAATATTCAACAAAAATTACTTTTAAGAGTTATGCGAATTTTAATTTTGAAAATAGTTTTGCAAACATAGGTGGAGGAGGAGTCATTTCAAGATTAAAAATGAGTGACCAAAATTGGAAAATGGGGAAAAAAAATCATGAACTAGGAAAATCAGTTAAGAAACAATTTAAAATACAAAGTTGTGAAAGGAAAGATAAAGAATTTATTTTGAATTACTGTATTTTTAGAAAATTATTAAAAAAATATGTTAAGCAATAAAAATGATAAATGACTACCAGAAAAAAGTTTTGATCTGGTTTACAAGTTTTACATTTTATTTTTAATTATCATTTTTAAGATAAATGTTTTGAAATTCAACAAGTACGCTCTTAACTTTTTAAAAAATAAATAACTTACCTCATTCGGTTGAGTGAGTGCAAAAATATCATAATGATCATGATTCCATTCATTAATTAATTGTACCAACCGACGGAAGGCGGCATCGTCCGGGGAGTGTTTGGGCATTGTTAATAATTACATTCCAAAAAAATAAATTTCCAACTTTGTAAAATAAAATATAAGCTTTAGAAAAAAACTGTAAAGAAGTCGTCAGATTAAGTTTATCCACAGTCTTTTTTTTTTTTTTTATCCAGGAAGAGACGAAACCACTAACATCTCCACAGAAACTTGTTGCAAAACTTTCTTAAAGAAACTCAAGAATGGTACGTCAAGTTGGTGACTGATATTTTAAAGTTAAACGCGTAGGATGTTTACTAATAAGTGGTAGTAGTAACTTAGTAGTAGTAACACTACAAGTGATATGTGCATATGTTGGGCACTTAGTAGTGGTAGAAGTAAATACAGATTACTAACTTGAAACGTTTGGAGGTGTTTCAAAATTCAGTTGTTTGTTTACAAAAACCAAAGAAAATAGCGTAGCTGTACCGACTACAGGGGCTGCTGCCACAAACAGCCATTTAGTAATTTATTTATTTACACTTTTTCTTAGTTTTAATTGTTAGAAATAAATAAGTAAAATAAGATGCTTTTCTTTCCCCTTATGCCTGTTTAAAATCAAGCACGTTTCTTTTCTTACTACCACTATTACTACTAATAATACCAATGGTAGTAAAGTAACTTAGTAGTAGCTATCCCCCCCCGATCGCGCTTTTTTTCTCTCTTCTTTTTTTGGTGATTTGTGTAAATAATTCCAGTTAGTAAGCAAAAGGTCCTTGTTTTGTGCAGTAGACCTGAAACAGTCTGCCTTTCGTTGTATTTTCTTATGCTTGCCAGAAATAGGGTTGCCGTTAAAAATTTTAAGTCGGGATGGATGGCCAACTTTTCAGCTCACATAAAATTCCCTAACCCAGCTAATTGGCCCGCGCATGCGCCGTCGCACACACTCACCCACAAGGAGGACGGCATGTCTATGCAAATTGTGACTGGTTCGCTTTTGCCTCCACTTCCCATCCACATTTCTCTTTCGCTCGCTCCTGCCACTATCACATCCAATATTATCTTTTTACTTTCCACCCCTTTGAGACCTTCTTTTCTTATTTCTCTTATCTGTCAACTGTACTTCCCCGACATTTTTTTTAGTTCTCTCACTATTTTTTTAAGTTCAATTTCTGTAATTTTTTTTGTGTTTTTCTTCTCGAGCTTTTCCGAAAATCTCTCCGTATCTTATGCTTGCCCTGCTTACTTGTCTCGTTCATTTCACGTTTTCCTGTATGTTTTTTTTTCTCCTTTTTTTATCTTAGTAAGAAAATCGCATCCCATCTCTGCTGTGTAACTATTTTAGTTTTATTGCTGATGCCAATACACCTCCACACACTCAAAAAACGCGCATCTCTATTTTTGTGCTCTTCCTAGTTCAGGAAAGCTTTATTTTAGTTAGCCTAGCGTACCATAACATTATTATTTTTTTTTTTTATCAATATTCTTTTTTTACTCTTTAAGAAAAATTATGTTCACCTTAAATTTTGCTGAAGTTGTTTTAGTTTTAGTTTGCAAAGTTTGCATAAATCACACACGAATAATTTTTATTTTATTTTATTTTTTTACTGTTTAAGAAAAATTATGTTCACCTTAGATTTTGCTGAAGGTGTTTTTAGCCCTAACCCTATCGAGACTAGAAAGTGAAGACTGGGCAGCAACAGTACTCCATTTGAGATCTGATCTGGCTCTTGTATGGTACTGCCGTAGTGTTAAGCAAACTCTTTTAAAAACTGTTATCGGGTTTTTCATTTTCGGGTAAACGTCGCTTGGAAAACTTAAATAAAAGTAATAAAGCAGAAATATTCGACCATATGACGTGGAAATTGAGCGCTACTAAGAAATTACTACTTGAATTGTAACAGACAATGACGATTTTTATGTCACATGACGAGATAAATTCCGACGGTCTCCATAACTGATTCCAATCATATGAGAGAGCTGTGATGGATTTTTAAGCAATACATAAATTTATGATTATTTCCCACATATTTTCTGGCATTTTGTTGGTGATCGGTCGTCTTGAGCGCTCATCATTTTCAACCAACTCGACAGGCTTTGAAATGTGCGTACTCCTCAAGAACCTATGATCGCTCTAGTCTAAAGAATGTTTGCCATTTCTACGATCTCAGTAGCACATCTGCGAAAAACAAACAACGTAACCCCTTACCTTGATAGAGCCTTTGGGTACATAATATCAATGTTTCTCCTATTTGGTGCTAATATGAAAAAGTTTAATTCGGGTCAACGCTAGAACAACCAACATAGAATTGAACATGGGGAAATGGAGAAGTCAGTTTCAGATTAGTGATGTTGAACGGTTGGACGTACCTTTCTGATGGCCATGACATTATTATGACTCACTGGGGATTGAAGTCGCTTAAATTTAAAAGATAAGTCTATTGAAATCATAGTGGACGTCCTTCGTTTTAGTTGGAGCCTGTAAGGAGGGACACCAGGCAACGCACACGGAAGTCATTTGGGTTTTGGACAGTCTCAAAAGTGTTCGTAAATGTATTCAGTTATACAGATGTTTCACGAAGGAGCCACTGTTAATTTCTGTAGCATGAGATGATTGCGACTACATTACATTGATACACCGGTTCCCGGATGATCACCGAAGTTAAACAATGTCGAGCCTGTTCAGTATCTAGATGGTTAACCGTTTGGGAATACCACGTGCTGTAAACTTAGATGTGCGGGTGGTGCAATGGATAATAGATCGGAATTGTTAATCGGGAGAGCCGAGTTCCAATTCCATTTGGGTTCGTTATATTCACCTACGCGCAAATACCCTTGGGAAAGATATGAATCCACTTCTCCCGATCTCGCCCCAACTAAATGTTAAATGATTTAGTGATGTAAGACCTACTGGACTTACATCACTAAATTCAAAAGATGAGAAATCACTAATTTGGCGATTATGATTTAGTGATGTAAGAACACCCCCCCCAAAAAAAAATTCTTAAAAATTAAAAACAATATTTATGGCTTAAGATCAGGCATGTCAAACTGAGAGTCCCCTGAGAGCCACATGGTCACATATGTGTTGTCATGAAGGCCACACACAACAACCAATTGTGTACATTATAACTAATTGGAGTCACTTAATAAAATTTATTGCAGAATATTTTGTTACTTAAATTTAGAAACACACAATGTGCATACAAATGTTTTAGCAGTATTCAACTCTGCAAAATAATTATTTTAATAAAACATTTCAAACAACAACATATACTTGCAGTTTGCAACAGCAACAAATGCATTGTACGAAAATTACAACAGTTCAAAACTGAACATTTATTTGTCACTATTCAGTCAGTTTTAGTTTTTGTTCTGAAGCTTGACACCTTTTTTGCTGACAATGTTTACTATGTCTGGCTGAAATGTCTGTGTAGTTCCGATTTTGATCAGAGATAGCAAATGTTGATCAGTTAGCCTTGTTCTTTGAGAAGTTTTTGTTGATTTCATGAAGGAAAATATCTATTCACATACACATAAGTAAAACCAAACATTGCCATAATCTTTGTGGCAAACATTCTGAAGTTTTTAAACATTTCAGCAAGGTATGGAAAAGAATACAGGTGTTCCTATTTCAAAATACTTTGCTCTGCGTGTAGAATCCAACTGCATTTCTAATATTTCCATCTGCAAGTTTTCTTCTTTCTTGGCAACATCAAAAGTGAATGGGGAATAATGCAAACTGATGTTCAAAAGATGAGAAATCACTAAATCTTTTCTGAAATTCCTTTGACAACAATCCCAGGTGACTGTCATTCTTAGCAAAGCAAAGTAGTCTCGATTATTGGCAGTGCTTTTCAGCTCTTTGCACCTAGGAAAATGAACTAAATTTTCTTTTGATAACTGTGACTTTCATAAGCTTAGTTTAGTAATGAAGCACTTAATGTCATCCTATAACTGTGTGATAAGTTTGTTATTACCTCATACTTTCAAATTAAGATCAGTTAACTGTGCAGAAATATCCACAGCAAAAGCCAGATCTTGGAGCGAACTTTCATCTTTTATTTCATCTGTGTTTTGATTTTTCATCTCCAAAAACATAATTATATCTTGTCTCAACAAATAGAACCTTTTTAGCACTTTGTGACATGAAAACCAGCGGACTTTTGTGTAGAATGGAACATCAGTGAACTGATTATCTATATCTTCCAAAAACTGACTGAACTGATTGAGAGCATGACCTCTGATATAGTTCACTGTCTTTGTGACTAAGCTAAGCGCATGACCGAATTTTAAAATCTTTGAACACAAATTTTGCTGATGAATAATACAGTAAAAATGTGCAAATGATGAATCTGGATGCGAGTTTTCTAGTTTTCTTTGTAACTTGGTAGCAATAGCATTATATTTGCCGATCGTATTCACAGCACTGTCAGTAAATAAGCATGCAAGTTTATTCAAATCAAAACTATACTCATAACCTACTCAACTTTCTCAAAGATGTCCTCGCTTGTTGTAGCGTCATCCATGGGGACCAGTTTAATCAGTTCTTCATAAATATTAAATTCACTGTAACAGGCTCTGATGAAGATTGCAAGCTGTGCTTTCTAGTGATGTCAACGGTCTCATCAATAGCAATAGAAAAAGTTTCAATCCTTGATGATACAGCCTTCAACTGTTGTTTAAAATCATCTGAAATTTCATCAATCCATTCAGCAACAATGTTCCTGGTTAAGGAAATGATTTTGAATAAGTGTTTTTTCACTGGACATACAATTTCAGTTGTTTTTATAAGGCATTGATTTATGAAATCTCCTTCACTGTAAGATTTCTCACTCATGCCTATCATTCGGCTGAGTTTACAACTTACAGTAACGGAAGCGACATTCTGTTTCTGAATTTTTGTAAAAAAGAAATTCTTTGGCTGTATCAAGTTAGCCTTCAATTCCTTGAGTTTTGAAATGCGCATTGGGCGTTCATATTTATCGTAAGATAGATGGTTCGTTTCATAATGTCTTTTCAGACTGTACTCTTTTGGCGTTGTTGCAAATTAAACAATGTATCTTTTCACTGACTGTTGTGCAAAAATACCATAATTCCCACTTTTCTTGAAACACTCGCCCTTCTTTGTTCAATTTCATTTTTCTCTTAGCTGGAGGAGCACTAGCCATTTTAGGATTGATGTAGTAGGAAAAAAACTAATTTTCAAAACTGATGATGCATAATCTGAAAAATTACTGGTACCTTTAAACTACAGATAACAGTACAAAGAGATAAAGCAATTTTGATAACGCCTCTAAAACTTTTTTTGGATGACATTTCACCTTTAAAAGCAAAAACGTTTCTGTTTACAACTGTTAATGAGCTGCCATATTGTTTTCATGGTCTGATATCTAGTGGCATGGATACTAGAGAGAATTTGTTCCCGCGCTATTTTTCTCAGCCACCAAGAATATCGAATATTTACTACGATTTTTAAAATAATAGCTTAGTACTAAGTTTGTCGATAATACTAAAATTATTTAAAATAAATTTATGCAGTAAAGGGTATTCTATTAAAATAAATCAATATGTGATTTATTTTCTTAAATACTGTAATTTCTAAATGATAAAAACTGCCATTTTGGCTGTTAAATGACCAAATTAGTATCCTTTGTGCTGGCTGCAGATGTGCTTTAGATAACCTTTAAAGGGTTGATAAACCGTAAAAAATTGAATTAATCAATCAATGTAGTATGAAGTCAATTTTCTTCCCTTTTTTAAAAGTTCAAATCAGTTGAAGAAATCAAGCTTGTTCCTGATTTCTTTTGTCTGAAAATATTTTTCCAGGATTGCCCAACATTTTACAAACAAATCTGGAAAAAAAACAAAATTTAAATTCTTTCGTTTGGCTGAAAAACACCATTTTATTTCAAAATTGACCTCCCCAAATCCTGCAGATCAAAACAACGGACCCGGTTATATTTTTCTTTTTAAATAATTTCAAATAGGCCAGCACAATTGTTTTTTTTTTGTTTTGTTTTTTTTTAGATAAAAATCCACTCGAGACATCCTTATTCCAACCACTTCTTTTACTAAATATTCAAATAAAACACTTTGTCCTAAATTGGTCGCAGCCTAAAATAAGGCGTGAGATAACATTTACTGAATATTTGATAAAAAGGGTGGATGTTCCGGGTAGACCCCTCCCCACACCACCAAAATAAATAAATAAGTAAATAAGAACAAACAATCCGGCTGTCGAAGATAACCTTCATATAATGTAATTCGTTGACCATAATACTGATAATAATGGCCAAAAATGAATTCTACCTCTAATGACCTTTGCTAAACTCGGAGGTCGGATTTGACCATCTTACTATTTGTGAGATAATCAGAAGACCTCAAGTGAAACTCAAATACCCAACCTATTGCTCAAAATGCTGGCAAAATGATCGATTCATTGTAACACTCCAGCAAATATCTGCCCCCCCCCCCCGTTATGCTCTATCTTTACAAAATCCTGGTCAGACCAAAATGGAGTATTGCTGCCATACTTAGGTTGGAGCTGTGCCCACTCCACACTTGCTTGTCGTGATAGTATTCAAAAAGCGTTCAATTATTTTTTATCCAGAAACCCCTTTCTCACAGACAAAAAGTCGCTAAGCTATCGCTTTATAACCAATACACCACACGTCGAGGTTTCTATGATTTTCTAAAGCGTAACTTAGATGTATCACAGGACCGAAAGTATGGGACACCCAGTATGGATCGAACTCACTATTCAGTCGTAATTGATCTAGCGAGACAAGCTTGCTAACGTTACACCACGTTTCGGTGACCAAAAATGATTTTCTAAAGCGTAGCTTTGATGTGGCAGAAGACCGAAAGCATGAGGCACCCAGTGAGTATCGAACTCACTATGCAGTCGCAATTAATCTAGCGAAACAAGCTTGCTAACCATTATACCATGTCGAAGTGCCCATTGAATTTTTGAGTTTTCATGTAAAAAATGTACTTATCTGTCGCCATTTTTTAAATTAATTTTCCAACTTTTTCACAAATACAGATGTGTATAAATATACTACAGATATATCCCGGGTTACGTCGTTTCGAGTTAAGTCGTTCTCGATTATACGTCGTTTGTCAAAAATATATGGAAAAATAAAAATCAAGTTTAAGTCATTTTATTCGACTTTACGTCTGTTCGCCACAAATATTGAAGTCTTAATATCACTAGAAAAGCGTTAAAAGCACATAAAATCATGTTATTGTACAATACATAAGAATAAAAGTTTATAAAATCATATTAAAATACATACATTTACAGTAAATGTTAATATAATCATCATAAATCCTAGAGAACGAAATGTGAAAACATCTATGACTCTGTATTTTCGTCTTATTTACGGTCTTTAAGAGCTCAATATTGGCGTTTTCCACGGTAGTTCCAACATTTACTGTTTGGCGTCGTTGTCAGCACCACTTGTGATTCCCGCGAAAGTGAAATCCAGTTTAGTTTAGGCATACGCACGCTATACGTCTGCTTATCGCCTACTCTCTCATTCTTATTCATTTGTGACTTTATATTTTGCCCCAATGGCCTCTAAGAAAATTCCTAGTGCAAGTGCTAAGCGTCATGCTATAACGCTGGACTTACTATGATAAAACACTATGAAAAAGGTCAAAAGGTTATATCGATTGCTCGATCTTTTGGAATGAGTCGGACAATTGTATCGATGATTGTT